TGCCCTGGCCAAAACTTGTTTGGGGCACTTTTCTATTCCAGTACGGCCTTTTTTGTTTCTTCGTATGGGGCTCGTTTCTTTTCGTTTGATTTTTAAAAATTTGGGCACCTTGCAAAAATTTTTTGGGAAAATTGTTTCCCCCCCCCCCCCCCCCGGCCGAAAATTACCCGTACCCCTATGTGCTTTCTCCCCAGTCCCAGCGTTTTTTGCCACTCACGACCTCTGCGCGACACTGTCTTGGAGCCTGGAAGAGGCTAGAAAACAAATAAACAATTTGTGCTCGACCTTAAACTATTTTATGTCTTACTTCAACCTTTCAAAACAAATCATATCTTGGCATTTTTGTTTTTGTTGAACAGGTTCATGATAATTATAAAAACAAGAAGACTGGTTTGTGTAATCAAATGGTAACGAATAGTTCAATTCCAGGCCAAAATTTTAATGGTTTCCCCACCATCTAGACATGTTGGGCTCTTTAGCGTGTTAGGACTTGTAACATGGTCTTTTATTCCCCTGATGTCTTCATTCATAACATCTCACCTAGACATCATTAAACTTGGACGCCATCTCTGGCATTCAGAGTACAAAAGCTGCCATAGCTGAATTTATGAATTAGTATAGGTAATAGCATGATTTGTAGTGATATTTGGCATAAATACTACGAGTGATATTTTAAAATTGTTATACGTATATTGAGTGATATTTATGCAAAATATCACGTACAAATCATGCTATTATTTCTTTGTAATACTACCCGCAAAGGTTTTGTAATTTTTACATGTAGATATTTCAAATTAAGCTGCAATACCACTGCTCTTAGCTAATCAAATTAAAGAAATTTCTCATGTAGTAGTATAAACGCCGAAATTTCGCGCCAAATTGAGGAGTAACTTGTACCCGAGAAATAACCACGCACCTAGCCTTAGTTAATTAGGCAATTTAAAAGATAGAATGACACACTTCCCCCCTTTTAAAAGAAAGCGATATTTTAAACAGTGTAGGCACCTGCATATCGTTGCATCGCAGCCAAATGGCGCTAAAAAATTTTACTGAAAATGACAGCAAAACAATTGAAGAACTATCCTGTTCGGCGGAATTTTTAAGAAGTGTAGATTGCGAGCTATTTTCCATTCAGCTCTTAATATTTTTCTTTCCATTACTGCATTCCTGATGAAAACTCTGATCCTAGTTGCCCTACACGAGGAAACTTCACTTCATGCGCCGTCAAAACTCCTGTATCGTAACCTGGCGATAACTGATCTCTGTGTTAGTATCGTTGCTGACCCTTTGCCTGTGACTTATTGGACTTCTGTTGTGAAAGAAAGATGGGATATTTGCTATTACGCTTATTTGGCAGAAATCCTTTCAGGTTTACCTTATGTTCAGTGTCTTTATTAACATTGATTGTAGCCTGCGTAGCAGGCGTCGAAAGGGGTAGGGGATAGGGATAAAGGGAAAAAGGGAGGGGGATTGGATCCCTTTTCTCTTTCTCACTCCCCCTCCCCCCTCCCCTTTTTGCGCCTGCCACGCAGGCTACATTGACTGCAATAAGCGTGGACAGACTTCTTGCCTTGTTGCTAGGGCTCAGATACAGACAAATTGTAACCTTGAAAAGAACGTTTATAACTGCATTTGGGTTTTGAATTTTGTCTGTAGTGGGTTCGTCTTGTTATTCGCTTATAATAAAGCCGAAAATTGCGCTCAAGCAATTTAGCATGTGTGGGCGGATTGATTAGACTCCCTCGGTCTTAAAAGTAGCGCGTGGGAACAACTGATACAAGATCAATTAATACACGTGTCATATTATCCAGCCCAATTAAAGTGGTTTTCTATCTATTTGAAGCTTTTAGTTAAAACCAAACAAAGAGATCACCTGCTTTGCTTTTGGTTAACAGTGCAATATCTCAGGAAAACAGGAAGAACTAAGAATGAAGTTACCATGCGCTTAGATAATTAGTTTACACAATATAGATGCTGTGGGGAAATGCTGATGTTAGTAATTTGTACAGCGCGTACTTACGAGTAGTTACAGGACAGTGAAATGGCAGTCAGTAGACAAATTTAATATACCCTACTACTAGCCAAGGTTTCTTTCCGGTATGGTTTTAAGCGTTTACGAAGTTTTTTTACTTTTTGCCTCCCATAACAGACACGAAAATTAAAACCGTTGTTGCTATCACTGATTATACCCTTTTACAGCCATCTGACGACAAGTTGGTTATTAACACTTATAACGCTCGCCTGGGAAAATGGTGATTGCTCAAGCTTGTAAACTTCGCAGCTTGTGTTCTCTCATCAGTTATTAACTTGTTATGCCAAATTAATCAGTACAATGTAAATTGCTGAACGTCGAGCTTGCAATGGACAGGCAACATAAAATGTCATTAAAACGTCGAGTTTTAAAGGCTACATCATTGATCTATAGGTTAGCTTTCTGATTCCCCCCCTCCTCCCCCCCCACCTCCCGCACCGTCTGACCCGACAAAGCATCATGGAGCCTTAGGTTACTAGTGGTAAACACCAGTGTGCGAATCATATAACTTTCCACCCGAATAAATTAAGCGATGAATAAATAAAGCCTTCACTTGCCTCTCATTGCAACTCAGAGAAGTACTATGGCACAGACAAACTTTACTGACGATGAAAACCAGAAAACATTCATAGAACTGTGGTGCTCCGCGGAATTTATCAGAGGTGTAGATGGCGAGCTTCTCTTCATTTCAGCTCTAAATATTTTTCTTTCCATTACTGCATTTCTGGGGAACACTCTGATCCTAGTTGCCCTACACAAGGAAACCTCACTTTATCCGCCGTCCAAACTCCTGTATCGTAACCTAGCGATAACTGATCTCTGTGTTGGTATCATTGTGGAGCCTTTGTATGTGGCTTATTGGACTTCTGTTGTCAACAAAAGATGGAATATTTGCCATTACACAAGTTTGGCAACGGGTTTCTGGGCCTCTACTTTGTGTGCAGTGTCTTTATTAACTTCGACCGCAATAAGTGTGGACAGACTTCTCGCCTTATTGCTGGGGCTCAGATACAGACAAGTTGTAACTTTGAGAAGAACATGTATAATCGCGTTTGGTTTCTGGTTTTTGTCCATCGTTGTTTCATCTACTTTTACAGTTTGGAATATTCTTATACTTCTTTCGTGTCAGAACATAGGTACAGCTTTGTGTTTAGTCACCACAGCCTTCGCTTACACAAAAATTTTCTGTACTCTGCGTCATAATCAAATACATGTTCAGAACCATTTTTCTCCTCGACAACCTAACCAAGAAATTCCACTGAACATAGCTCGATACAGAAAGGCAGTGTACAGTGCACTGTGGGTGCAGGGAACATTGGTTGTTTGTTATCTGCCGCTTAACATCGTGTACGCGTACGCTTTGACAACTCAAAGAGGCTTTTCCTTATCTGTTTACCTTGCATGGCATTTTACCTCTACACTAGTGTTCTTAAACTCGTCATTAAACCCTTTGTTGTACTGTTGGAAGATCAGAGAAGTAAGGCAAGCGGTTAAAGAAACATTAAGGCAAATATTCTGTTGTTCGAGTCAGTAGTGTAGTATGTTTTTCTGCGCTGTATACTGTTAATTAAAAATTCATGCGAAAATTGCCTTTTAACTAACTACATTTGGGGAAGTATTTTGAAAGCTATTTTCAAAGTTTCGTTTGGGTCGAGGTAAGTCTTGATTTTGTCCACATAGGTGTTTTTCTTCTTTGAATTTTGTTTTTACTTGTACTTCAATTTTTGCTTAGCTCGCGGATTTGCTTAATGCCATTTTAGGGATTTTCTTCGCTTGCCATTGTCAGATGCTTGTTTTTCATAGGTGGTCGTGAAAAATAAGGGCTACAATTATTCCCTAATTGTTTTATCGGAAGTTTCGTCTTTACAAGTTAAATCATCTCATTATTCAAGAGGGTCTGAATGGGGTGGTCCACTTGTCGGTTGTCGGTTAAAATTCAGTAATTTTGTCGGTAGTTGGTTAAAATTTTCGATCTTTGTCGGTAGTCGGTTAAACTTTTCGATTTTCGCCGGTTGTCGGAAAATCTCAATTAATAAGTAAAAACGCTTGTTAATTATTTATTTTTTTTATGTATTTCACCCACTTTTCAAGACTTTGATCCCTAAGGAAAGAGTAAAACTTGCAAGAATGCATCATTTGATTGCGCCTAATTATAAACCGCTCATTAACTCTTGTTTTTTATGCAACATGAACGTTTAGTTCATAATTGTTTGCCATTAAATGAATGATTAGTACTGATAAAATCACCCAAGCTTTTATTGTAAATGCGAACTTGGTTTCCCTGTCGACTACAGGGCACAGTAAAAAGTAATTAATTAATTACTTACTGGACTCTAGCCTTTTGGATACTTAAATTATTTTCATTGAAAAACTGCAAGGGATGACAGGCTGCACATCTATCCCTCTCATGAGGGTCTCAATGGGGTGGTGGCTTTTACGGTTATCGGCTATAATTTGGGCTCTTTTACGGCTATCGATTGATTTTTTGCAGTTACGGTTAACAAAAAAGTTAAAAATTAATTTCTTTTGTTTCAAAAAGTTAAATATTAATTAACCTGTATTTTTTGTATCTTTAAAGCAAAATAAAGGTCTTCGGATCATCTCGGGATAAAATAAGCTATTCTATTGAAAAATTTTCACATTTGATAGATCAATATACTTTTATAAAGTATTCCACTTCTAATATTATTTTACACATAGAAATGCCAAGAGTAAGCAGACACGCGAACGCCCAACTCAAGGCCGGGGCGCGACATTCCACACTAGAGACGGCTTATTCGTGTGAGACGGGTTATCCGTTTGATGATTCGCGTCAGATAGGTAATACGTCTCAATTTGAAAATGAAATAGTTTTAATTTTGAAATGAACAATCCCCCTGACTTTATCCGTCAATTTTGAAGGACGGAAGATGGATTATCCGTTACAGATAACCTGTGTACAGCCACAACCTCCCCGCAGAAAAAATCGGAGAAGGGGTGTCTAACGCTGTGGAGGAGGGGGCGACTGTACACAGGCTAGTCTAGATAATCCCTTTCTAGCTGTCGTGTGAAAACGGCTAACAAAAAAATTCCCGTGTCCAGTGTTTTTATGAGCGAAGGACTGTACAAAACGACTGCCTGTCGTTGCCTTGTCCGTAGACCTCATTATTCCGCGCGGCTAATGCGTTTCGCGTCACGTGGTCCGAGCGAGCTCGCCACCGAAATGCCTTGACCGAGATTGCGTGGGAAGACGCCGTACATGCAGGGACTAGGCATGGCAATGTCTACCGTAGCGTCAGAGAAAAAACAGGAAAATGTTGTTTATCGGCAACTTGTTTTACAAACAGCTCTGCGTGTTGTTTCACTAGTGTTTCGAGGGCACGACCTTCTGAAAATCGCAAATATTAATTCCCAGCAAGAAGCCCTCTTTCGCTATAGGAAAAATTAGTTTCCCCGAGATAGCGACGGAAATGGAGCCTAGGTCTTGGTCAACACCTAAAAGGCTTTTCGTCTAACGTGCGTACGGAGTCAAAGTAGCCGGAAAATAAAAAACGCAACCATAAGCGAGTTAAGCACCTTTCTTAAAGTTAACAAATCTAAGGAACAATTTCTTTTACGGTTAACTCTTTTTTACCCAATTTACGGCTAACGGTTAAAATTTTTCAATTTTTACCGCTATCGACTAAATTTTTGGCCGTTTTACGCCTATCGGTTAACCCCATTGAGACCCTCTCTCATGTTTTGGTTCTAACAAGCATGTCCTTTGCCATAATTTTCCCTTCTCAAAGAAATAGCACTTTAGATGGTTCTTTAAAATTTTGGCAAGGCAGTGGTTGGTTTTGTATGAGATTCCACTTTTTCATTAAAGCTTCTTTTTTATAGACACTAAGGGCTGGTGTTGTGTCACGAAAGGCCATATTTCAGTCTTTTTCTTCCTTGTTTTTTTTTTTTTTCAGGAGCGCTGCCTTCCTTTCTGTGAGTTTTACTAATAGCAATTTTTCTTTCAAAATTGTGTGGCTAGCTTCTGTCCATCAAGCGCTTTTGAAATCTGAAATACTTCCTCAGAGGAGTTTGTTCGTAGGATTCTCAAGGCTTCTCGTTTGTCAAACAGGCGCTTTAACAACTAGTATAGTGGGTGATAAGAGGTGAAAATGTATATACTGTAAGGTTTCCGTTTCAAATGCGTCTTTACGTCAAGGATAGCTTTTTCTCATTTTTTCGCTGAATGTTGTATCTTGGTATACAACCGTTTCTAAAAAGAATGTCTCATTTTCAGATCTTTCGGCCGTGAATTTCATAGGAGGGCATGTAAGTTTAATTGTTCCACGAAGAAAGCTACGATGTCTGGTTTACTTATGTCCCATAGGGGAAAAATGTCATTTATGTAGCGTTTTCAAACAGCTGGTTTAAAGACGGTTTTGCTTAAACTTTGTGTTTTAATATGTGCCATGAAAATGTTGGAAAGGAAACTGCTTTCTTTGTGCTCATCGCGGTAACGTGGGTTTGTACTGATAGTTCTTTACATTAAACGGGAAAGAATTTTCTTTGAGGATTAATCTAAGCAAAAAACATTCGGTTTTTTCACCTTTGACTTTTCAATAAAATTTATAAAGTCGGTAGTGTCTTTAAGGTGTGACTTTGTGATTTTGATATTGGCTGTAGCAATGTACCTGTATCAACAACAAAAAAAGGAAATTCTTTCCCTTAGGCCATCTGATGAGTCATAAATTTAAAGAGGTTACTTACTTTCTCGAGCTAACGGTTAGATTAATTACAAAATGCTCTTTTTTCTGGAAACAAATATTGATAATATCAGCCCATGTCGGTAGTCGGTTAATATTTTTCCTGTCGGTAGTCGGCAATTTTTTACTCATTTTGTCGGTAGTCAGTAATATTTTTCGCCCTTTGTCGCTAGTCGGTTAACCCCATTCACACCCTCATTCAAGGATATTGTCTCCAAGTTTTATTTTCACGTTAACAGCAGTGAATAACAATACATTTGAAATACGCAAAAATGCTAGCTATTGTTGCTCACGAAAATATGAAACTTGGAGACAATACCCTGAATAATAAGAGGCTCTCGCTTGTAAACACAAAATTTCTGACAAAATGTTAGCGAATTGTAGCCCTTATTTTACTGCCTTACAATACATCAATAACCTTGAAACTAAAAGGTCATATAAGAGGAAGGTTAATCTCAGGACTCTTAAATTTTTTAAAAAATCTATCGAGTGGTTCAAACTGACTTATTGGCTTATTTGCTAAAGCAGACCGAAATGTTTGCAAAACCGCAAACCAGAGCGCCTCGATACATGCCAATCAAATCCTTCTTTCTAGCAATCGGCTGGCTATCGGCTATCTCCATAATCTCTCACACACGTTTTTAAAAAGTTTGGAACTACTATGAGGTGAAATTGCATGTCAAAGCGCTTCGTTTTCTTACGAAAACACCTGAACATCAAGATTGTCCATTTTTTCCTTTTTTTTTAACCATAAAAACTTCATCCTGAAATATCTCGATAACGCTCTTACAGATGCCGCTAATAAACTTCACGAACATTGAGGCAGCTATTTTTGGGAAAAAGTTTTTGTGAACGATTTTGGAAGAACAGTTCCCAGTGCCGAGAAATACTGCTGCAAGTGAAACAGATAATGGTGTCATTTCGTTGCTATGACAACTCTGATGTCATTGCAACCCTGATCATAACAATTTTCATCTTTATCTAATACAATTGTGGTGGTAATTATTCCAAATCTCTGTTTATGGCGATGTATGTCGATGTATGGCGATGCCCAAACTTGGGAGGTATTGACCATAAAAAACTGTATCGAGCCACCTTAAATTTGTCTAGAGGAGGAATTTTATGTCGTCACAAACAGCAAAGTTGAATTGCAATTAATTGCAACGAGAACTTTTATGAGAATTAATTTCCATTATTTTTTTTCGTCTTGGGTTTGTTTGTATAAATTGAGGGATTTATACAGATAAATTCCTAATCAATAGTTATGAATTCAATTCACTATCCCCGCTCTTCCCTGCTGTGTTATCAAGCCCTCCCCGGACTTGCAGTTTGTTGAATATTCAAGAGGGTTGTACGTTAAATAAAGGTTGTTGAATAAAAAAGGAAAAGAAAAGGTGTGAATCATAAAAGAAGAACAAATATAACATGGCTCTTTTGTTTTTGTTGGACATGATAATTATAAAAAGGAAGTTAAGACTAGTCAGTGTAATCAAATCACGATGAATAATTTTAAATTCAATTCCATGTAAAAATTCTAATAGTTTTTTATGCCATCTAAACAATGTGCTCTTTCGTGTGTTTAAACTTGAGAGTGCGTCTCTTATTTCGCTGATATCTTCATTCACGACATCTCACCTTGACATCCCTTAACTTGGACGCCATCTCGGGCACTTAGATACACAAAACGCTGCCATAGCTGAAATGAATAAACGCTGAAATTTTGCGCCAAATTAAAGAGTAACTTGTTCGCTGAGAAATTACCACGCGCTTGGTTAATTAATTAGTTAATTTAAAAGATAGAATGACACACTTCCACCCATATAAAAGGAAATGATACGTTAAACAGTACAGGCACCTGCATATCGTTGCATCGCAGCCAAATGGCGCTAAAAAATTTTATTGAAGACGACAACAAAACATTCGAAGAACTAGTATGCCTTTCCGCGGAATTTCTCAGAGGTGTAGATGGCGAGCTTATCTTTTTATCAGCGCTAATTATTTTTCTTTCCATTTCTGCATTTCTGAGGAACACTCTGATCCTAGTTGCCCTACACAAGGAAACTTCACTTCATCGGCCGTCCAAACTCCTGTATCGTAACATAGCGATAACTGATCTCTGTGTTGGTATCATTGCAGAGCCTTTGTATGTAACTTATTGGACTTCTGTCGTGAAAGAAAGATGGGGTATTTGCTATCACGCAAATTTGGCAGTAGGTATCTCAGGTTATACTTTGTGTTCGGTGTCTTTATTAACATCTGCCGCAATAAGCGTGGACAGACTTCTCACCTTGTTGCTGGGGCTCAGATACAGACAAGTTGTAACTTTGAGAAGAACATGTATAATTACTTTTGGTTTTTGGATTTTGTCCATCGTTGGTTCATCTACTACATTTTGGAATCCTCATATACTTTTTTGTCATCAATACATAATTACAGCTCTGTGTCTAGTCACAACAGTCTTCGCTTACACAAAAACTTCCTATACTCTGCGTCATAATCAAATACATGTTCAGAACCATGTTGCTCAAGGACAACCGAGCCAAGCAATTCCTGCACTGAACATAGCTCGATACAGAAAGGCAGTGTACAGTACAATGTGGTTGCAGGGAACATTGGTTGTTTGTTATCTGCCGCTTAGTATCGTGGGCGCTTTGATACCTCAAAGAGGCATTTCTTTAATATCCGTTTACCGTGCACGGCAATTTGCGGTTACACTAGTGTTCTTAAACTCGTCATTGAACCCGTTACTGTACTGTTGGAAGATCAGAGAAGTAAGGGAAGCTGTAAAAGAAACATTAAGGCAAATGTTCCGTTGTTGGAGTTAGTTTAGTATACTTTTCCGCTGTATACTATTAAAGTTCATGCAAAAATTGCCGTTTAACTAATTACGTTTAATACTGTTGTGAAGTATTTTCAACCTTACTTTCAAAGTTTCGATTGGGTCAAGGTTAGTCTTGAGAGAGAGATTTTGTCCACATAATTCTGTTTTAACCTACTGTTTCTACTGAATATAAATCAAAGAAAAATTTAAGCATCTTGTAAAAAAATCGTTATATCTAGGTCAGACCATCATCATTGCGTTCTATGATGGTTACTATATAGGTTTTCAAAGAAAAAAAAATCACCTTTGTTTTGCTAAATCATGTGTTCGTTGTGCTAAGTAGAGGCCCGTTTCAAATCAATTTCAAGGTAAGAGTCGGTGTATTTCTAAACAACGAAACTAATTTGGCTTTGACAATTCATTTTCGCTTACCAAATAGAGAATAAGGGCTTCTCGTCAACAATTTGGTTTGTTTATGGCCTGAATTAGGCTCAAACCTCCATTTTGAATCACCTTAGAGGGGCATGAAGTGTTTGTTCCAAAAATTCAATAAACCATGATAAGCCAAATTTTTCTCAACTGATTTTGATAATTGGGTGACTAAAGTAAACAGTGGTATAGGTATGGAAGTTATGCAAGAAGGCAGGTGAATATACTGAAATTTTGAAAAATTGCTATTTTGAGTTGTAATTGTAACAACAATTCTGGCCAGACTCCAGCCCCAGGCTCCTCTCTGTGCAATACCTTGAAGACAAAGTTACATGCGTGAACAGAAAACTCTATTATAGTATACTTCATGGTCAAATTCATTTGGTAGCACAATTTACCAGTGGGGTCTTACGGTACTTTCAAAATTCCCCCTGGAAGGCTGGATTTTTGGTGCTCAAAAGGCCAAAAATGAGAC